GCTATCAATTGAAGCACCACATTCTAAAAGGATCTTTACAATCTCATAATGTCCATATTCTGCTGCATTATGAAGAGCTTGCATACCATCTATATCAGTTGCATGAATATTGGCACCCTTCTCTAGCAATAATCTGACTGTTTCAGGTGTACCCTCAGCTGCTGCCAGATGTAGAGGTGTTGAGTTGTCACTATTTGTATATGCCAAATTGGCCTGATGCTCAAGCAATGTGCTTACACATGTATAATGACCTTGTAGAACTGCATAATGTAAGGCAGTCATTCCATCTGAACATTGCATATCACAAGTTGCATGATGTGTTAATAATATATTTAGCACCTCATGAAAGCCAGAACGAGCTGCACAATGTAATGGAGTGATAGATTTCTGATCTACTACATCAAGAGCTGCTGCATTAGCTAGAAGTGTTGTAACAGCTGCTAGTGCACCAAATTTGCAGGCATAATGCAATGCTGTTTGTTCAAGAGGATCCCCTTGATTGATAGGGACTCCAAGTTTGACTAAGGTTGTGATTACAGCAGAATTGTTGGCACTTGCTGCTAACATCATTGGAGTGAGACCTTGTGCATTAGGCATATAAATATCTGCTCCATATTGTAGCAGAAGATGGAAAGAATCAGTATGTGAGGCAGAATCTATTGATTTTTTTGACTGTATAGCAAGATGGAGTGCTGTTGATCCTTCACTGTTCTTCATATGGATATCCACACCTCTCTCTAGAAGGTATTTGAGCCATGTTGGGTTAATCACAGCTAAATGAAGCACGCCATTCCCCTGTAGATCTTGGATAGTAAAATCATGATTTTTCTCCCAAAGGTCCTCTACAATTGAAGGAAGATTATATTTAAGAGCTACATGCAAAGATGATCCTCCACCAAATGCAAGCAGTGTCTCTGGATGTGATGTGGCCTGATAAAATTTTGATAAGAGGGCTGTGCTCTGTGCTGCTTCGATATGGGCACCCCAATATAACTTCACATAAGGAAATAAGTCAAAAGGAAATTTATCAGATTGCATATCATGGAATCTAGAGGATGCCAACTGAACAAGACCTGCATAAATCAGATAAGACAGACACCATTGTGCAATCTCAGAGTGACCAATAGTTGCTGGAAAGTTATGGAATATTGGAATAGTAGCTCCAACATTGGCTGGATTGGCTAAAAGAAAGTCTCTGACTGATGTATGAGTAAAGTGGACAAAGGTTCCAGATATTGTTTTGTTCAATGTAATCAGTCCACTGCAATCAAATAAGATATCCTGGGGATTGTTTGGGACCCGGCTATCATCCCATCCAGTTATTTCATCCATTTCAGGAATTGATATTGCACTCATAAGCTCTGTTATCTCTGGTGGGCGATAGCTACACAGAAGCCAAGTAATTGTCCTTTGACACCACTTATAACTTGGTAATTCATTTATTCTTGCGAGTATTCGAAAATATGTAGCAGATAAGCCTATAGGCAGTGTTTCCAGACAAGACTCCAGTGCATAATCTGTCACTTGCACAGATAAGATATCCAGCATTAGTGTAACCCACAGGAACCTAGAAACAATTTAATTTATCAACCTAATAAAGATGACATTTATCATACATTCCATCTGCAGTACTTTGCAGTGCTTCTGAAATTTTTGTTTTAATCCTTTGAGAACGCTGTGAGATACGAGGATGGGATGCCAAGGCATTATGAATGAAACTGGATATATCTTCTTGGACATGTTCACTTCTGATATGAAGTTGGGAGCAAGAGGAGAGGACTCTAACAGCTGGTTCAACCTCAGAGCGGCTAGTGATAAATATGGAGGCATATTGTGAGAGTGTTAAAAGGGATTTGGCAATAACAGCAGGATCAATAAATTCATCAAGAGCATCAACCAAGATATATGCATGCTCTGTGCTTTTCAAAAGCTTAATAATCAAGCTTTCCAGATTCTTATAGCTGAGATGGGATAAGTTAGGAGTGTCTTTCATCCAGGTATTGCTGACAAGCTTGAGGATTTCTGGGTTATACATAAGTTGGTCCAAGATTGCAGCAAGTAGATTGTGAATATGCTGTTTTGTGTGATCATTGTACTCTCCAAAAAAGAATATAACTGGGATCTCTGGATTATTTTGATGCTGATTTTGAAGTGTGTGAATGATTACTGAGCTGTCTCAAATACATATTAGTATAGTGAGTCATATATAATATTACCAAAGGGTTGTTTTCCCTACACCAGCTAAAGAAAAATATTGAGTACAACTTGAGATCTTGCGTTAGTCTTACACACGTTTGGAATGACACCATAATATACCATGTTCTTGCTTTTCCCATGCTTGAAAAACAGAATTTCCTAAGATCCAGCAGTAAGGCTCTTGATAGGCAGCCAGAGCAGTTTGATATTTTTCCCAACAATTTGGAGCATCAAGTAGCTTCCGAAATCTTTCAATCTTTGTATCTAGTCAATATAAAAATAAGTGCTGAATCATCAAGAGGAGAAAGATTTACAAAAAGATATTTCACTAGCTCGATGCTCTTCCTCTTCCAGTTTCTGGGCTAGTTGGGCATACATTTCTCTATCTTGCTTCATAGTCAATCTATCCTCATGCTTGACCTGCATCTCAACCTGGACACGGTGCTTCTCTAGGTGTGCAGTAATTGTAGTAAGCTTGGTTTGAAAGCCTCTCAAAGATATTGCTAATGATGCTAAGTAAATAATCTTTAATTTGCCAAGATCTTTTACCACTGAAGGAGGCTACTCACATCTTTGGTGACCTGTTGAGTCAATAAATGTATCATGCACTATCAGAAAGATAGATAAGATATCTTGCAAAACCTGTGTCACTGCCTTGAGATACAAGAATCAGTATGATCTTCATGATGAAAAGCTAATAGAAGCCTGCCTTGTAAACCTTGTCAGATGTAGAATAAATATTGATCATATAGTCCTGGAAAATAGGCAGCTCAATGGAGATTGTCTCTAGTGTATCTGATATGAGTGTGAAATAATCTGTGTATTTGTGAGAAACCTAATTAAAGCTTTTAGCCATGTAGATTAAAATGAACAAAGCTACAGACTGCCAGAACCAGCTTGAGTGCTCCCCAGATTGATGCAATTAGCATTCCATCAGATGAAAAAATTGGGTCCATGGCATTCAAGAATGGATTTAAGGCATCAGCAAAGTGCCGCACCCGTGTAAATAGTTTGCGAAGATGGCTGCTTTCTCGATGCTGCAAGTTCAGTGCTTCCAACTCAGATACAACTGCTGCCCAGCAAGTATCTGAGTCCTTAGTTGTGGCAAGGCTCTGCAGCCAGGTGGCCTGCTGTGAGCTGAGAGTGGCCAAGAATTGTTCCAAGATGGCATCGATGCTAGAGGGAGGCATGCTTGGAATGGAGGGCGTGTGCAGGAGATGAATAGAGGGATGTGGCAGAAGCGGCTTTCGTGTGAACCTCCTTATAAATACATACACTATCTGCTGATGGTCGTAGCATGCATCATTCAGTTTCCCGACTCGGAACTTCTTTGCCCATGGAGAAACTAAAGACCCGATGAACTATGATTTTTTTTGAGCACAGGCCAGGACCGCCAGGTAGCAGCATCCGACGATTCTGACCTCAGGTTCTGAGTTATGGACTGAGTCAGTGCTGATTAAGACCGATCACTGTGACTAAGAAGTTCTAGTCACATCTTCGTGTCACATCTTCGTGTCACATCTTCGTCAACGATGACTACTGTAGTATTTTACTCAGTTCGCATGTCACGCGTCACACTTGCTATAAAATTCGAATTTTTTTCGCATGTCACACCGTTTTGCTCAAATTTGTGTCCCAAAAAGGCAATTTATGACGTTTCCGGGCGCCTCCGGCGCCAAGAACTTCCTAATTAGGCAATAATTCGAATTCAAAATTTCGTATCAAATGTCACGCCATTTTTGGCATTCGAATTGAGTAAAATACTACAGTAGTCAACAGCGCCGTTGGATTTCCTCGACCGTCAAGGCGGGATACCGCCACTCCCTAGTCTGTGAACGACCTAGAGCGCAATGCGCCCGCTCCTCAGTATCCATGCCCTTGCAAGTCTTTCGAGCCCTGCCCGTGGGCCGTCTTTCCAACAAGTGCTTCGCTCGGATGGCTGCTTTCGCTAGCGGTGAGTTAAATGTCTACTTTACACAGTCCATTACTTACCTTTCTCAGCTTCTTTTGCACTTTGGGCTCCTCGACTCCATGCCTACTACGTCGACTATAACCAGAGATTAACCGGCTGCCCACCGGCGTGTGCGTTGACTACTTGCGCGTTTCGGATGAATCGGATCTGCAACTTGAATTTAACACTAACTTTAAGTAACTTAGCATCACGCAGTCGACGCGGCAAGTGTGTCGCGCGATGCTTGGGATGTACTACACGCGAAACTTAAGCTTCAGAAGCTGGATGCGGATAGTAGATATGTTGCAGAAACCTCCCTGTTGTTCACGACAACCTTGGCCCCGCTCGCATCCCTGACGACGTCGACCAAGCATTGGAGGGGAGGTGCATGCGGAGAACACCTATGAAATCGGCGTACGAATCTCTCCGAATTCTCGCCGGCTCCAGCAAGTTTCCAATGTGGCCAGTGCACTGGACTTATGGTCGGGTGCCTGGCAGTGGATAGAGTTTATGCAACGAGCGCGTCGTTGGAAGTAGGAAGCCCCATAACGGAAGCATTTGCGACGCTTCTGTTCCGCCTCTTTCACTTCGGCGCGTTGGCGACACGTACGCAGTACAAAGCCGCGCCTAGTCTCCACGGGGTCTTCGCCCGAATCTGGACTCGGATGGCTTTGACTTCGATGCCAAATAACCGCTGGGGTAACATAGCACCGATGGATTATGTTTCGTCCTCGCGTATTACTACAGCGACTGCGACAGCGTGGACCAGCTCATCGACAACTTCGAGTCCCTGGGTACATTCGGCTCCATCGTGCTCAAGCACCTTTCGCAAGTCATTGAGGGCTGTGCCGACACAGCTACTGCCTCTAAGGTCAACGCTCATGCGCACATGGCCAAACATCTCGCGGAAAGGCCTTCCGGGGCGCGAGTGTTAGCGGAGACTGGCGGCGTCCCTATTCTAATTCGCGCACTCCATGCAGCATCTACCAAGTTTCTCGACCTATTTGAGGGGGAGAATACTATATACGACATCCTCTCCTGCCTTGTCTTGATCTTCTCCTCTCGACCATTCTACCCCGACGTTGCTGTCGCTTTTGAGAACAACCTTATCCCCGCAATAATGGCTTGCGCGAGGTCGCAACGGATGCGACCACTGTCCCGAGACGCATTGAACCAACTCAAACTTTTACTAACCAGAACACTGCCCGCGGCAATGGTCTACTCCTCCGTTGTACGTGCCCTGGCTCAAGGCGAGAAAGCGATGCTCAGCACAGCGGACTACTGGGAGCCAATTGGGACCGATGAACTTCTGGGTACTCCACTACACGAGGAATATAAAGGATTCATGGTGTTACTTGCCACCCGTCTGTGCGACTATGACATATTCCGGTCGGGGGCGCATTCGGATCTTAGGGCTTGCGATAACCACCTTGTAAGATCGGTCACATTCGCTTGCTTTCCCAGTGGTGACTAATATTGAAAATGATAGTGTAACATCATTCAACCTACCGCCAAATTCAAACGATGTGCCCAATGCGTTGAGTCATATTATTGCTCTTCCATTTGCCAAAAGGTAGCATGGCGTCAAAACGGACATCGCACACGATGCACCCGTAAGTTTTCCGTTCGACCTTCCGTGTTATCTAATTTTTTCTCGAATAGCATTATCACATACTCCCCAAAAGTTTCCTGGCAGTTCTGACACCTTGCTGCACAAGCGGGACGACCGCTTCCTGCGGCTGATCATCCAGCAACATTACATGCGCTCTTCATTTGAGCTCCTCCAGCAACAACTGGCGTATATTCGCGAAACCCGGCGGACGGACTTTGTGCTGGAGTTCATCTTTACCGCCGGTCACCCGGTCGAAGTGCAGGTGACGCATTTGCCGTTCAGACAGGAGGACGGCTTCGATCGTTGGCCAGCGGATGCGCCGCCGCTGACGCGTTGTCTTGTTGCGCTCGACGCGGGCGGCGGGCACGGTAAAAAAACGGAGATGGTTGTGCGGACATATCTGCTCCGGCGGGCCCCGGGTGCTTCAGAGGAGCTAGCGCGCCGGATGGTGAAGCTTGCATCGGAGATGCAGAACGGGGACATCTGCGAGGAAGGCAGTGTAGTGTATAGGAAGTTGCAGCAGATCAGTGTGTTGGATGTGGTGGAGGTTGTTTGCTGATATGTATGTTTCAGTCTGTTGAATCTTTTTCAATCGCATGCGAGGAATACTAATTGCCCCTTTCGATTCTCAATTGTACTATATGGTACATTGTCGTGAATCCATTAATATTGCGCGCAAACTTCCCAGTGGTCGCAATCTGCTGTCCACAAAGTTGACTCCATGTAATGCGGGAGGAAAACTTACGCAGGCGTTGTCAAGAGTGCATAGCCCTGCGACTTGGATTCGAACTAAGTATAAGTCTGTGAAAGATCGGGAGAAGCGGATGGTTGATGGAGATGGGCAAGTTGGTGATTATATTTATAGCTCTCGTCTCAGACTCCCAGGTCTGGACTGTGGACCACGCAAAACAAATCGCAAATGCAATAGTGGGAGCTGCCCAGAAAGTATCAGCCGGATCCAGCCCGAGGACTTGCTGAGGAGTGGCATCTGCCAAACATCATTTTCTGGTGACGGATAAAATTGGACTGGGCGTCGTCATGCAACTGCCTGCGCAGAGCAACGCCGAACACGATCAACCGCCGACATCTCAGCTCGGCCCATCTTGTCTTCGCAGATGCTTAAGCGTGGGTGCCGTACGAGTTCGTTGCGATGTACGGAGACGAGTAGATTGCCCGAAAAAAAGCACCAGACTACTCATGATTCCAAGCCTGTGTTGCATCCAGCCCCTATCGCGCTGTCGATCGATCGTCCAATGCCAAGCCACTGAGTGGGCGGACTTTCGGCGCATCAACCCGAGCCGGCGGGCATCACTGGTTGCTCACTGCCGCGGATCATCTTGGTGACCCACTCCCATGACGCCGGTTGACGGTCGCAAGCTTATAAACGCCAGCCGATTGTTTCGCGAGGCTTGGCTCCCTTCACGTTCTTGGCCCTCGGTTGCCTGCGTTTTTCCCACCTCTTCTCCTCCCACCACATTCCCTTTTTGATTTGTTTGCGGCGAGCCTGAGGCAGCCCCCGCGCTAGACGCCAGACGCCCTCCACCGGTTGGACGCCTTCCGTTCCTCGACTTCTTTTTCCCTGTTCTTGATCCTGTCGCCATCGACATTCGCTCGTTTCTGCCAATTGTCATAGCGTCGAAGATGGCAGTCCGCCTGTCCACCATTGTGCTTGCACTCTGTCTCCCTCTCCCCCGCCCTTGCCGCGCCCCACCGCGCTCGCGCAGAGCTAGACTCCACTGTCAAATGCGCCAGCGTCGATGATGATGGCTCCGCGCTTGTCTCGTCAGGCGTTTCTGATGCCTCCCTCCAATTTTCGGTCTGCGAGTACAAGGATGCGGGAATATGCCAATACTTTGCTGCAGTACGTATCCTCGAGATGTTTGCGATGAGGGGAGGCTAAATTGGTCTAGGACGGGTCGTTTTCCTCTGGATCAAGCACTTGTCCGCAAGGGGAGCCCCAAGATTTGAATGTCTTTGGCAAGAAACAGCAGCAGAAAGCTCCTCCGCCCCCGCCACCACCTCCGCCACCACCAAAGACCACGACAACGTACGTGCAAGTGGGAAATATCTTGATGTGTGACTAATTCATCTTCAGTAAGAAGGTCGAGACAACGAAGCCCCCGCCACCACCACCTCCCAAGACAACCAGCACAACGTCGACCAAGGCGAAGATGACCACTTCGCCCCCTCCACCGCCTCCTCCGATGACAAAGGAGAACAAGATGACGAAGGAGAATCAGATGACGAAGGACAAGGGGATGATGACCACCAAGGGGATGATGACCACCAAGGAGATGATGACCAAGGACAAGGGCATGATGACCACCAAGGAGAAGCAGATGATGACGACCACAAAGGAGAAGGACATGATGCCGACCAAGGCACCTATGCCCGACCCTGCCCCTCCCCCTCCCCCTCCCCCGCCACCACAGCCAAAAACAATGACCATGCAAGACAAGTCTCAAAGCAGTAGCGCCCCAGCTGCTGCTCCGATATCAACTGGTGCACTCACCCTTATTGACCGGCCTGCTGAGACCGCGGATGCTAATGGTGATGGAGCGGGCGCGGCTGCGTCGGGTGCTTCATCGCCAGGAGGGACACCAGCTGCGGCCGTCGCTGGCGCGCCAGATCCAAATGCGAGCGGGAAAACGAGCGGCGCTGTCAGGGCCGGTGGGGTTTCGTGGGCCGTGGGCGGTGTTGCGCTTGCGCTGGGTGCTGTAGTGCTCCTGTGAGCAATGTAGGGAAAACAGGGAGCAGAGAAGTGGGCGGACTGGTCTCCGCTGTGTCCGATACGGTATACCCGCCTTTTTTGGTCTTGTATGTCGTTGTCGTTTTGCTTTCGGACTTTCATGGCTTTTGTCGTTCTTTTTGTAGCATAACAATACTAGCATTTTGCGCATTGGACATTATTGCTGAGTTGGGTGGAAGAGAAAGGCAAAGCTGATAAGAACATTGTACTTGGTTAAGGGTGGACTGCTGAGTCATGCTGACGTACACACTCCCTGTTTCGCTCTTTCCGCCGCTGCGGATGTTCCACCTGAGGACCAGAGGCGACCCCTTCTCCTTCCTCTGCCATGGATGGCTTGCCAATCTTCTCGAGTGAGTCCGCAGCGTATGTCATTGGACCACAAGTGAGTCCATCCATTCAATGATTTCGTATTCTGCTGAGCGGCGTCAGCTTGTGGGTTGGTCCCTCGGCGCAGTTTTAACAGGCGTCGTCGGGTACCAATTCGTCAAGTATCTCAGCACCTTCCCGGAGGAGCCGCTACACCTCCGCGCCTACGTCGTCTTTCTCATCATCGCGACCCTCGCCACGGCAATACTAGACTTGTCGGTGTGCTCTTCTGACTCCGCTGCGATGCTCAAGCGGTTGTAGCATGCAGAACTGGTACAAGCTCATACTTGGGGAAGGGTTCTTTGGACACCCCGACCTGCCTATCGCAGCTTCGCACTCCATTATCGTGCGTGGTTGCTTGACTTTCGGCGCCAACTGGTGACTACTAAGGACGCCCACAGATCGCTTTTATCACCTTTTATGTGCAGGCCTTCTACCTCCACCGGCTCTATCTCCTCTCGAAACACAACTGGCCCCTCGTCGGGCTTTTAGCGACCCTACTTTTTGCGGCATTCGCCTTGAGTCTCACCGCCGTATGCAGTCTAGCTGAGTAGCTTCTTTGTCGTTGATGTATTTCCGCAGGTAAGCCGACGACTGCTCCCCACGGCCACGGACGAAGACGACAACGCCAAGAGTTTGCTCCTCTGTGCGTAGCTTTTCCCTTACTTGTTTATGGCTCTCGGCTTATTCTCCTAGATAACATTCACATCGCGTTCATTCTCGGTTGGTCTACTAGTACATGCAGACCGCTATCTTTCACTGATTTCTGGTAGTCGGGGACATCCTGCTGACACTCACAACAGTCGGGTACCTCGTGTACTACCGAAAACAGGTACTCCCGCTCAGCGCCGGGCTCTTCACGGCGCTCATCCGGGCGACATTCCAGTCCGCCGCACCCGCAACCTTGTGGTCTGTTTATCATTTTTCGACACAGTTACAAGGGGGTAGCTAACCGGTGGATGTAGCATCATCATACAATTTGCACTCTCGTTGACCTACCCGAACCCGCCGTTTGCGCCATTCGCCCGCGTCTCGGCGGGGATCGGGCTGAACATGGTGCTGTCAAAGCTGTGGGCGATGTCCCTCCTGGGAACGCTCAACTCGCGTGCGGAGGAGAAGACGCGCAAGACGCCCCACGGCACATCGCAGTCTTCGCGGCGGGAGCTGGCGCAGAGCGTGTATGTCAACCCGGCCAGCACGCGGCCCGGGAATAGCGTCGAGAATGAGACGCACAGTACTTCCTTGGTGTGTGTTTTTGTTTTTACCGAACCGGAAGGGACTGATGGGAATGCAATGTTAGCAGGCGGAGGCAGGGAGGCGGCGGGACCGCAAGTCGATGATGTTGCCCCGCCGCGTTAAACAAGGTTGAGTAGTGAGGTCGATTCTGAGGAGTAGATCCAGTTAGGTTTTGTATGCTGTACCAGTACTTGTATTATTGCTTTGATTCCGGAAACCTTGGTAAAATTCTAAGTTTTCCAGCGGGCTTCGCCACGTGGCAGGGACGAATACTAGTAGTAGTTTAAATTATGGGTTTATCATTCCAAGAAGATCAACTTGAGGCCGAATTTTTCGTGGGTTCCTCGGCACTTGAATCCTTATAATGCTTTCAAATTTAAAACAGAGACATCCAGGATAATGACCATTCATAATTTGGCATCAAATTCAATGATGAACACGTGGTGTGCGATCCCTTGCATCTCACCGCCATGGAACGTCTCAATTTTTTCGACATCCCGCCCGACATACTTGAAGCAACCCTTCTATTACTCGCACTACCCTCTCTCCTCACGCTGAGGGCCACCAATCGCTTTCTCAACGAGTTCATCCATTCGTCTATCCGGCTGCGATACCATTATCACCTTGAATGCTTCGGTTTGGAGGAGCAGCACGGGGACAGGGCGATTTCGATTCAGGAGCGCATGACGGCACTCATCGAGCGCGAGCGGCGCTGGCTCAACCTTCTGCCTTGTCAGAGTGTCAAGTTGGATGTTACGGGTCAAACGTCGCTGTACATTACCGACCGGGTCATGCTGGCCATCTTCAACACAACGAATTCAGACCCGCGGAAGACCTTCGCCAGTGCGGAGACCATGCCAGGACCGGAGACTAAGAGTGTCGTTGCGCAGCCAAAGTGGAGGCCATCTGGGAGTGCACGGAACTTGCGGGAAGTCCACGCATGTGAGGCCAACGACTTGCTCGTCGTCCTGGAATAGTGTGTCTCTGTGTCAACGCCTTTTGCCGTACTCTAACCGTGTGCTAGCGATGCCGTTGCGCCAAACTCCGAAATCTATGCGGCGGACCTTCGCTTTCTGCAGCTTTCAACAGGCTTGCCTCATCCTCACGCCTCGCAGCCTACCATGCGACTAGTGGAGTACGACTTGAGTAACATAGCCGACCACAGTCTTCCAGCAATGCTCCAGAGTGCGGGCTCAAACTTGGCGATAATTCTAGACACTACGGACCACGAGACTGAAGATCTATTCCTATTATATATGGTAGATTGGCGGCGCGGAGCTCACCTTACGGTGCGTTGGATACCCTTTACATTGCTTGTCCATACAAACACTAGTTGTTATAGGTGCCATTTGCCTGCTCAACATCTGCGCTCGCTTTTCTTAGCCCAGATACATTTGTTCTTGCGAACGCAGTGGATCTTTCCCTCGACGTCTTCCGCATTCCCCCCTGGGAAATTGACCTCGTCGAACTCGAGAGGTTTGCTTCACTGTCCCTCCCTCCGATGCCTCGGAATACCCGAGATCTGTCGACCCTTGGCAGTGTTTTTCGGTGCAGTTCGACCATGTCATGGGATGACCCCCAGAATTCCGCGCGTAGTGCATCTTTCCCCCAGCCCCGTTTCCATTTCAGCCCCAAGAAGCAGCATACTGTTTTTTTGTTCATATACCTCATCGCCTCCGCCCACCCCTCGCTTGCCGACACCAGAATCAACTTCGTCGTCCGGAGCCATGATTTGCTCGCGCTGCTGGGCCTCCCTACCTCAAATCAATCATCGCACCGATCTTATACGCCAGAGGACTGGGTTCCGCGATGTGCCCGTTGGCTCGCTCCCGTCCCGTGGCCCGACGCCAACGACAATTTGTTTCTGATGTCGTCAAATGCTAGCGTTGCCAATTCGGGGGCCCGCATCATTGGATTCCGCGAGCGCGAAGGCCGCGGCGCCATATCTCATCCGCGTCAGGTCGTCGTCCTTGACACAAACCCATGGACGGTCGAAATAGTGCGGCGCGCAGCAGCAGCAGCAGCGGCCACCACCGACTATGACAACGCAGACGGCGACAACGTCCCGATCTGGAAGCAGCTCGGAATCCTCCCAGGCGTCGCGGCCGACGGCACCCTCCGCACGGAGAGCGGTGCCGTCCTCCGCTTGATGTCGTCACAGTCCGGGTCCTCTGCCGGGAGCTATGCCTCTGCGGGGACTCTTCCACACGCGTGGGCGTCCAACCTGGCGTATGTCGAAATAACCTCGGCCACCACACACGACTACTTGATCCTGCGCATCAACAACGAGAGCATCGTCGGTTATAGCGGCGGCGACCCGGTATGGACTAGGGAGTGTTTTCTGTGCGGACATGGAATTGACTTTCGTTCAGGATCATTCTTCGGAACTCTTGTTTTTTGGGTGACACTTCGAAGACCTGGGTTTTAGATGGAGATAACTGTATCCTTTCAATCAATCCAAATGCCACTGTGAGTGCCAGTGTGATATTTGAAGTCTTTGTGGCAAGAGGATGCCAAGATGTGTATAGTGAGAGAGTCCTAAGGATCATAAACCTCTGCAACACACTGGCATATAAACATGGATAAATTTTCACCTTTGTACATTTGGATTTCCTCCCCAGGGGTACTAGTACAGTCGAGTTCCTCATATGGAATCACCCCATGTGGAATATCCTCAATATGGAATGAGTTTTGGCCTTCCACTCGGATACGCGGGGGCATCGTAGCGGTATGCTTGGGAGAAGTAAATATTCCACAATTTGTGTTCTGGAATATGGAATGGCCTGATTGTGCAATTATTCCATCTAAATTTGGGTGGAGAAGCAGTTAAAGCACCAAAATTATGACCATAAATACAAATGTATGACATCTTCTAGCCATCTTTAATCCCACCAATTATTATCTATACTACATTAAGTAAAGAACACTCTTTAGAAAGGTGATTATGCTTGAACCAAAGGCTAGAGAGACTCAGAGAAACATTCCATCATACTTTACTGTGTACACAGATCATGTTTATATGCTGAGCATGCTAAAACTAACAGAAAAAGAAAATATAAAATAAAAATACAATAAATGAATATAAGACATAAAATCAAGATAAATTTCATATGGAATATCCGCAATATGGAATAGGGGTAGGGTTTCCACCAACATTATTCCATATGAGGAACTCAACTGTACATGGGACTATATTCTTCAAATGGAGTATATTATATAGCTTTATAAATATACTAACATTCACACCGGTGGCAATGTCAAAGGCGGCCGGCAGATGGCGGCTGGCTGACAGGTCCACTGACAGCGTGGCTGGCAGCCCTTATGGCAGAGCCAACGGCGGTTCGACTGGGGGCCAGTAACAAAGAGAAGTTCTTTGTAACAATATTTCATTTATTTTACTGGCAATCAGGCATGCATATGAGGCATGCACATGTAAGTAATTGAGAGCCTGTCAGCGTCAGGCCGCGTTAGTGTGGGTCACGGTGGGTCCCCGGTGGTGTCAGGCTGGTTGATCTACACTTCCGCGCCAGCTGCCAGTGCAGAGTTGTGCTTGGGACGACACTCGAGGTGCTAATGCCCGCATGCAGCCCTGAGCCATTCATCGCCACAAACACGGTCTACGCGAAAATCACAGTCTTCGTCACTGCCCGTGACGATCCATATCTCTCTCTGCTGCCAACCACCATCTCTGATGACACACCAGCTCTCCTCCGCCCAATCCTTCTCCCTTTGACTGGAAACTTGCTAGGCAATGCCATGTCACCATATCCCATCGTCCTTGAGAACACTGACCCATTTCGATCAATTCAGTGGGCCTGTGACCCGTGACCATTTGGCCGAAATGTCCAATTCGGCCGCAGGCCGAATTTCGCGTGACCTACTACCCGATTAGGAAGTTCGGCGCACCGCAGGCGCCGAAAATTTGAAAATCTTCCCGATTGGGACAGTTTGGGACCAAAAGATTTGGCTGTGACCTGTGACCCGCCGAAATATTTCGGCCAAAAAAACCGATGTGACCGTGACCCGCCTAATTGAATGAAATAGGTCAGCACTCGGCAATGAGTCGGCATTCTGACTCGGAAGGCTGCGCTGTGCTGCGCGCGAGGCACTCGACGTCAAGCCTATCACTCGCGGTCAAGCCTATTCTGGCAAAGATTCAACGCAGCGCGCTATGGAGGGGCTCACTTGGCACAGAAATATGCAAACAGCATCTTCTCCACACTGGCTCCGTGGCTACTAGAGGTTTCGGGGTCGCGGACTGCTGCCCCGAAGCATTGCGGTGGACCCTTGGGGCGATCTGCATGTTGTATTCGGGCCAGCGCAAGGCACGACTTTGGCCTAGTCTTCCCGGAAGTCGCCCGTGGACGCGTTCTAAACATCTGGGGCCGACTCTGGGCAGACCCGAATACACCACAGTCTCTGGAAGCCGTTGTCACCGTTGTCCGCGTTGTGCGCGAGATCAGTGAGCGCCGAGCGCATTAGTTACCCGTTCTGGCTGAAATCTTCAGCGCAGGTAGCGTCAGTCTCGCGCCCTTGTTACTGACATTTTTCAAGACGAACAGCGAAGCGGCTGGGTCTGCACGCAGTGGACGCTGTTGGGCAAAACCCGAGGACGGCGGGCCGAGTTCTTGTTTATTCCGCCTGGGATTCTCAGGGAGGAGAGCACAAATATCTCCCTCCGCCTTCTCAAAATACCAAGCAGAACGGGCCAGCGACTGGCTCTGCGCAGCCCGGCCGGCATTTTCCGAAGGGAGCCGCGTCCCAGCCCGCCTCGCGCGCGTTTGGTCTGGAAAGGAGGCCGCGGGCAGCGCGCTATATGCGTCCATCTCCAGCAAATCCTAAGCGAAAGGATCCAGTCATCGTGCTGCATCGCGCCGTCTCGTCTAGGTGAGTAAACTCAGTCTTTTGCTGAATTCAAAGGCTAAATTCAAACAACCATAAGTCCAAAGCCATCCTTGGCGCAAAATGGGGCCCCTCCTGCCCACTTCCCTTCCCTCATCACGGCCGTGGCCCCGGACGACTGCGGCTTACTCAACTTGATCTAGCTTTACGATGTCCAGGGTTGAGTTCGAAGCGGCGGGCGGCGGCAAGGGCCGGCGAAACCTAATTACAAACATATCCGCCTGGTGTAGCGAGCAATGTCGCAGGGCAGCAGCAAGTTCATACCTGAACTACGTGAACAGGACAGCCGAACCCATCTGCAGTGTACAGGCTTCATGTCTTGTCCTTGATGGCATTAAGTACTGAGGACATCGAGAGCAGCAACAAAGCCAGTTTTTTTCGCTGCACCGCTTCTGACCAGTATGCCTTCGTCTTGCCCACCACCGACCTTGCCCCGCGCCCCTGGCCCGCTGATTTCGCCCGCTCTTCCGCGGGCCCCGACTTTCGCCCCCGCGGCCACTATCTCGATGTTCCCGCTGAATAACGGCCTCTCCACCGTCCCTGGGCTGCCCGGTGTGGTGCTACGGACTTGGCGCCGTCTACGCGATCACCACAGTCCACTCCATCCGCTCATTTGGGCTGCCACACAGCTCCCAAACGGGCCAAGACCTCTAGGATGCGTTGTACTAGCATAAATGAAATGCTTTTCTTTGATGTACTCTATTCTAGACAAAGAGTTTAGACAAAGAGTTTAGACAAAGGAACCCTGACTCCCGTTGAAACCGCCGTTGGGTCTGCCTTGTGGTCTGCCTCATGGGGTGTCAGTCAAACTGCCATCTGCCAACTGCCATTGACATTGTGCCCGGTGTCAGAGCTGGGGTGGAGCCTGTCTAGTGTACTTATAGTCACATTTGAGTGGAATATAAGGTTCAATTATGCACCAAGTATATGCTTATGAGGATACTAAATCACTTTTGTAACTTACCTGTACACGGGGGGTTTTTTTTTTTTAATAAAGCCTTCTCATTACCAGTGTGAATGTTTTTAAAAAATGCCTCTAATTTATGCCCCTGCCAAAAGGCGGGTTTTATATAGGGAAATGAGAGATCAAAAAAAGGTTTAAAAAGTTGAAAGGCCATGTCAGGGTGGGCAGTGTGGTAGCTATAAGGCCCCAGACCTGACGAGTGGAAAATTCCTTAAGTATGGGGAAAATACTGAGTAGGGGAAAGGCCAAAAAAAGATGAAAAAAAATGTTGATGGCAAGGTGCCAAGAAAGATACGGAGTTTGACAGCGTGGATTTTATTAAAATAAGGGGACAACTTGTAAATCACTGATGTTTTTTAAAAATGTTAATATTCTAATTACAAGGGATCTTTTTTTAAAAAAACCCCATATATGCCTGTGTAACTTTCTAGAAGGTTCACACAGCTTATGACCTGATTTACTTGCTTGCTACTCCACTGCCCAAGACTGAGCTGGTGACTGGTAACAAAAAGCAGCAAAGAACCTCTCTAAAAACAACAAATCAGGGTTGGAATCCTTCTCGTTTGAAATCGTTTCTGAATCATAAGAAGTCAGACAGTATATACCGACGAGCCAAGTAACGACAGTGTTACTATACGTTGTGAAAATAGATACAATGAGCAGCACTGAAGCTGGGGATGGATACACGGGGTAATACGTAGTGCAAGAAGTCTAGTACATGAGCTCAAGGTTACCAAGGCGGCTGTCAACAGCATCTGTTCGGCGGCCAAGAGTCCTAAGCCGCCACGGGTCTGTTCGCGAAGCTGTACCGCACAACCGCTAACGCGTTCCTCCATTCTACGATGCTCAGCACGCTCAACACATGCCAAATCGCATGGGACCCGAGGCCAATCGAATTGAAAGCGCGAGCGACCTTGCCACTAGGGTCGAGGAAGCGCTCGGGAAGGTGGTTGGAGTAGAACACGATGCCGAGCGTGCTGAGGAGGATGGACCGCAAGAAGGGGGAGAGGAATTCCTTCATGCCTTGGAGGCCAAAAAGCAGCCAGATGCCGGCGATGGGCGTGATGGCGAGGACTTCGAGGCTCATGAAGAACAAAATTCGCCAGCGCTGGAGGGTGCATATGAGTGGGGCAAGGGAATGTGGGACAGGAGACGTGACTGACGCGGTACTCGTGCGCATTAAACCAGGACATCATGGGAAGCGTGCTGCCCGCCACCGCCATGAGGAGAGACACCCCCAGTGACGGATAGGCGATGCTAGGGTACGACGCATAGCCGTAGAAGACGAGCGACGCGTTGCATGCACAGATGAGCCTACGAACAGGGTGAGATGCAACATAATATACGCTGGTTGACTCACCACACAATTCCAATGTAGTCTATCCGACCACACATTTGCATCGTCCCTTGATGCGCGCAACCGGACATCAGGTGGCCGATAACACTTGCAGCAAGACAAAAGAGCACTGCGACGAAGACGATGGTCTCGCCAAGGTCTTTAGTGGGGTAAACGTTCCAGCACGTCCAGACAAATGTGGCCACATGGGTGTGAATGTTGACTAAGTAGATAGTGAGGACTCGAAAACGAAAGACTATATCAGACCGACGTACGAAACTCGTTATGAAGGGCAAACATGGAGAGTAGGAGGGCGGCCAAGCGTTCTCGTGGAATGAATCTGAAGTTTTTGTGAGCGTGAAGAGCCCATGATACACGACAACGCACCGATAGCCTGAGGTAATGAGCGGAGTGGCGCGCCATGGAGCAGGGAGATCGTCGTAAGAGATGAGACGGTGTCCATTGCACGATTTGTGGAGAGCCGACTCCACAGTTGGCTCAACGAACTCAGGCTGCTTCTCCATTTGAGCTGGAGCCTCTTGCTGATGCTTCTGTTGAGCAGCCCTAACGCGGGAAAACACGGCGGCAAAACGAGAAAAGACAGAGGAGTTGTTGGCAAAGAGCGCTGGGGCTACAGAGTGCTGCACATGCTGAGACATGGCGATTTGTCGGCGTTGGGCGGACGCGCTGGCCTTGGTGTTCATACTGTTGGACCGTTTGCGGGCGGTACGACGGCGGTTAGCGCGCGATGCCATAGACGGGGAACGACGCAAAGGATCGAGGAGGGCCGAAACTGCGCAATTTCGAGGCGGACTCCATATATACCATGTGGAAGATAAGCGCGTGGAGAACACATGGCGTCGAGTGTATTAGGCTTTTTGAATTTCGTTGATCACCCCGAGATCTGCGTTGTTTTGATTGTAAAGCCGGGGTCGCGGCGTCGCGCGGCCAGCTCGCTTCGGTCCCTGGGTTATAGACTTTTTCCGTCAACTTGAGGTGAGACGACGTCAGGGCGACGTGAAAATGCTGGGCAGCGAGTGTCTATATGTACTCGGAGTTCTTTCAGTTCTGGCCCGGTTCTTGCCATGTTTGCAGTGGTCTCTCTGTGAATTGCCACCCTACGTGTTGCCTCGACGATGACGATATACTATAAGCGAGTTCCCTTCTCGATGCCCATGTAGGCAAACACCCGATAGCATCCCTACAAGTCAGGCGAATGTGTTTCGTTTCGGTCAGCGCCAGGGTGTAACGACTGCAGACCACGGCGAGCTCGAGTGTCAGTCGTCTGGCGCAGGGTCATGACCTACGCACCGAGACACCAGCCGAGGAGCATCCAAACACCGGTGATTGTGCAGCTGCGATCATCTTGTGGGCCAAGCAGACAACGTGGTCAAGAGGAGGTTTGTAGCCCAAACAATGACGGATCATTCACGGCTTTCGCGCTAATGTTTGCCTAATATGGAACACTTGACGTCGTCATACGGTAGGCGAGATCGATCAGGATGAATTTTGACCGTTCGGTTGCCGGTCGGCCGGTGTCGGCCGGTGTCGTCCGGTGTCTACTGACGAATCTGCCTAAATTTTGGCGGACTTTCGAGGGCACATGACCACTCCGCCAGAATTTAGGCAGGATGGTATTTCTCATTCGAGCCTGCCTTGTGCAACAATGAATTCAGTACAAACTACTCCTTCAAGTTCTCTGGCCAATGCTCGTGTCCCAGCGCTTCCATCTTTGATGCCATGTCCGAGAAGACTTTCCAGCTGTTCTCCAACGTTAACAAGGGCTTGCCAATGGAATTGTAGACCAGAGTTGCAAACACATCAAACGATGGGCTTACCCACTCAAGATGCTGCTCTCTTGGGCCCACTTCTTCCGACAGTGTCTCACGAAGCTCATTGACCGTCGCTCTCGGCACTTGAATGAAGCAATCAATTCCGCCGTAAGCTTCGGGGTGTTCACGAGCGTCAGAGGGGACATGGCCGGATGGCATTAGCTTCTCCTTTTGGAATCGGACAGTGTGGCTGTTCCAGTACTGCTGAAATTCGTCGAGCTCAGCCTGGATAAGGGGCGGGAAGGTCCAGTTAAAAAGATGCCTAAGAAATGGATGTCTCAGTAATGAATGAGTGTAGAGCATAAGGAACACTATGTACCTATGAAGGGTCGACGCCTCATTGAATATCCGCTCATGCTTGCCCCGGAGAATATGTTCTCGAAGTCACACACGCGTGCGAAGGGTATACATCTGGATCATGAATGCACTGAAGGGGAAATTAACATCATACATTTAAATTTTGTCAGTGTTGGACACACCGTAAAGAATCTTGGATAGCCAACATCCAACCGATCTCTGAGCCCTTGTCGACAGTAATCTGCAATCCTATTCCTGCCAGTTCTTACATTAGAGGAGAGAGGTGATAAGTAGATACCATACTGACCGCCTTTTTCGGCTACAAAATCCAAGAACAAGTGCCCAATGGCAGCATTTGTTCTATCATTTGGGATAACATTGATTTTGAGTAGCTCCGTTGTCCATTTATCCTTGAAGGCATAAATAGGAAGCCCCACTCCACCCATCTGTAATGCTTGAGCCCCCGAGTTTCTCGTGTCCATCTGAGGAGATCTCGTGGAATGGTCCCAATGCTGTCAAAGGCGTCCGTGGAATCGTTGACTTGTTCCGGCCCGGATAACGGGTTGGGCTCCGAGGGGATACTCACGATGCATTATCGCTCGAATGCTGTCACTGTCAAAGAACTCATGTTTACCTGTTACTCACAAAGAACGCAGACACGACTCACCGTGGTACCATGACCAGCTTGTTCTTCAACTGTGTATACACATAATTGGGTCCGTTATTCAGTCCCAAGTCCTTTTCAGCTTCGTCAATGACAGCTTGGGCAGCAGCTTCTCCAGTAATTTTTGATCTCTTCATCGACGGTATCTCGAGCCGCCTCTCGATTCGATTCAAAGTTGCAATGCTACTCGATGACCGGTTAAGGGAAGAAGATAACATGAACAAGACACTAGACCTGATCTTCAACTTGTGGTCCTCAATGAGACGAAGCAGTTTGGTTTCTTGGCTGAGGTTTCGCTGCACATACCGGAGGAGCGTTTCCCTTAGAATGTCATCCGGTGGGTCTGAAGGGTATATGAGATTTTATTTGGACTAAAGAATATACTTGCAGGCCTTTGATTCATGCCCATTGTTGCCTGTCTTGTTTACCATGAAACTATTAAAAACGCGACTGGAGTCGACGAGTTACAAGTCACTGGAATTTGTGACCCACTTTTTTACGCACCATGACGGACAGTCCTAAGACACCTTGCGATGACTGTGGTGGCGAATTCCCCACTCGACAAGGCACTGGCCCTTGTCTCAAGTGCTCAAAGCTCTCAAAACACGCTCGCGACTCTGACCAGTACAAGGACATTTCAGTTTGTCCATTCATATTTCCTCTCACCTTCCCGCTCACTCGAGTTTAGCAATGGCCTCAGTGTGAGATGTGTGGTATTACTCGACGCAATATGCCTTCAACTGGGCCTACTCAGACCTGTAATGCACCAGCATGCAATCGTAACCCACTTGGGCCAGCCGCAGGTATATTTTATCCTCATTGATTCATGATGTGGAGCCAAAACTCTTCCAGGAGGAAAAGAGAATCTTCCCGACATTCAACGTGACCGTAATGCCATATTCTTTGCCCGTCTCCAAAAAAATTCGCCCATTACTGGTCCAAATCCCGGAACTGCCCTCACGACTGAAGAGCTTTTGAATCGGGAACATGGTGGTGGAATGCCCGGCGAACGTCAAATTCATATCGGCTGCCAGGTACGTTGACCTGAGGAGACCACACCTCATCTTACCGACAATTCAATAGATTCGTGTTGCAAAGGGCAACACTGCCAGAATCAATGAAGGCCTTGGATGGGTGCGCAAGGCTGGTCCGTGAATATGTCGATGCTTGGTTAGCTTTTTGTTCTGGTGATATCTTCCGGGTCGCTTATCAGCCAAAGATGTCAAGTCCCAGCTGCTCGACAATCTCAACACCAAATGGACTAAGACTCACAGTCACAAAATTCTCGAGTAAGTGGTGGCTTACTTTTAGAAAGTTTATAACGACAAAGTATTTTTAGCGAAGAAGTGGAACTACGGTTCCAGGGTGGACAAGATCTCCTTGGGGATACTGAAGCCTTGACGGTCGACCAGTTTTACCTCAAGTACTCCTCTCCAGCTCACCGGGGTGACTATCTGGACAACATTAGCAAACCTTGGGACAAGAATAGCTACGTGAAAGCGAAACGACCATTTTTGCCTATGGAATTACTCTTCCATCAAGAAATTGTGAGTCATTCCTCGGAAAATAGAGCAATGATTGATATTTTTACCTAGCATGAAGCCCGAATCAAGAAATCAGACAATGGAGATGATCTGACCTCCACCCACGTCCACCGACGAAAGCGGGAGCGTACCATGTCTGGAACTACCAGCACCACCAGTTTCAAAAAGCCCCGTGGATATTCCCACTTCCGTACGTTGATGTGTGTGACGGTCTGATCCTACTAACTCGACATAAGCTTCGATGGCTCCGGTTTCGCTTTTTGGCCTCCCTTCACGTAAAGATGTGACGGTCATCTCCAAACAGAGCTCGATTTCTTTCATCAAGGTTTCCGCCGTTACGGGCGGTCAGAATGGGGTCACGAAGCTCATCAATACCGGTAAATCATACCAAGGCACTATTGCAGACGAAGCCTTCAATCGTGGCCAGATGAAGCAAGCTCATGATGCAAGTGAACTTGTTTTTCACACTTTCCAATCTTACACTCTCTAGCTTACTATCTCAGGTATCAAGGACTCGTTTGTAGCTAAGAGGTTCTACCAGCTGGACGAGCATGGGTTGGAGGTGGATATCGCAGACAACAATGTCGAGATCCGGCTGGAAGCGACTCGTCAAAGTCAACTCAATTGGTTCTTGGAGTCATTCTATAGGTTTACGGGTACCCATGCTCAAGGTCAAGACGTGTCTGTTGATCAAAGTATGTCAATCTTCTTGCTCAGGAAGCGGAACTGACTAGGTTCTAGATATCACTGCAGCCGAAGTCTTCATTGCAAAGGAAGTCGAACAAGCTTCTCGTGCCTCGGGAATGCTACTTTCTGAGCTCAAGGAAGACGACGAAGCCATCGAGTGGCTCGTCGAAGAACGTCGGGCTCAGGCGGTCAAAAAAATTTCTGGCACTCTTTCGCACAAGCAGCTTGCAAATGACTTGGTATCTAGCACAGTCTCAGCCTTTGCACACTTTGCATTTGGATTCAGCAACCGTCAACTTGTATTTGCAGATCTTCAAGGTTTGTCTTCCTTGCATGTCCGGTATTGATCTCAGGCTCTCTCTGACCTGCAATCATGTAGGAACTCGAGCTATCGTCAAAGATCATGTTGGGCTGGTTCTCTTTGATGTTATGACTCACACTTTGGCTGGGTATGCGGTATACGCACATCTGAACATATGGCTGATTCCATTTTCAGTGATTCCGGCGTCGGAGACTTCGGAGAGAAAGGTATCAGGTCTTTCGTGGAGCAACACCAGTGCAGCCCAGTGTGCACTGGCTTTCAACTGGACCAGATGTATCCCTTGGAGCCTGCTGACTCGGACAAAGAAGACTCGGACGAGCTCACAGACTCCAATAATCTAGTTGGTTACGGGTCAGAATAGAAGATTGGGTAGATACGCCTTCCTTTGCCAGTTTCTGTAATTTTTGAGAAAAAAAAATGGGAATTTGTTGGCATATAGGTCAAGAGGCTTTGAATAAAGCGCTAGATACTCATTCAAAATGAGTTAATCAGCGGCCGTGGTAATTCAAGTTATCTCTAATGTGAGACACTCATGAAAAGCTTGACGGGTAGAAGTGGAAGAGGGCACGATGGTGTAACACCATATAGTGGCAATTCAGTGTAACACTTACTGTCCACACATGTGCCTGTCCACTGGATGGCAAGGAATGTCATGAGACGCTCACAAAGAGCTTGACAGGAGGAGCTGCCTGGATAGAGCATGATGGTGTAACACCATATAGTGGCATTTCAGTGTAACACTTACTATCCACAAATGTGCCTGTCCACTGGGTGGCAAGAGCATATACATCTCTGTTTGTCCAGAGAGTGGCCTCTCTCCATTCAAGACAGAGTGAATCGCCTATCTAGACTTTCTATGACTTAAGAAACAGTGAGGCCACACTGTATCCCAAGCCAACAGAAGGACTAAGCTGCCTGAGCCTCCCGACAGCAGTCAGAAGGCTGGGGAGTCCATGGCCGGAGCAGCCACTTATATAGGTTGCTGGAGCAGAGCTTTGACCGCTCCCCTTTGTCCAAAAAGGTGTGGTGGCACATTGTTTGAGAACAAGGCCACAGTGCCACTAAGACAAAGCACAACAACGCGTTATTGCGTCGAGCACGACGCGTCAATTTGATCATAATCTAGTCACATGGGCGAGCTTAGGCCCGGGCTGCCCGGTCTAAAGTGCTACCGAGCACAGCACTCAGTCTCCAAGTCTCGAGCTAGGATTGCAGAACCAAGGCCCTGGTCCAGTTGAAAGCCAGTGCACACTGGGCTGCACTGGTGTTGCTCCACGAAAGACCTGATACCTTTCTCTCCGAAGTCTCCGACGCCGGAATCACTGAAAATGGAATCAGCCATATGTTCAGATGTGCGTATACCGCATACCCAGCCAAAGTGTGAGTCATAACATCAAAGAGAACCAGCCCAACATGATCTTTGACGATAGCTCGAGTTCCTACATGATTGCAGGTCAGAGAGAGCCTGAGATCAATACCGGACATGCAAGGAAGACAAACCTTGAAGATCTGCAAATACAAGTTGACGGTTGCTGAATCCAAATGCAAAGTGTGCAAAGGCTGAGACTGTGCTAGATACCAAGTCATTTGCAAGCTGCTTGTGCGAAAGAGTGCCGGAAATTTTTTTGACCGCCTGAGCCCGACGTTCTTCGACGAGCCACTCGATGGCTTCGTCGTCTTCCTTGAGCTCAGAAAGTAGCATTCCCGAGGCACGAGAAGCTTGTTCGACTTCCTTTGCAATGAAGACTTCGGCTGCAGTGATATCTAGAACCTAGTCAGTTCCGCTTCCTGAGCAAGAAGATTGACATACTTTGATCAACAGACACGTCTTGACCTTGAGCATGGGTACCCGTAAACCTATAGAATGACTCCAAGAACCAATTGAGTTGACTTTGACGAGTCGCTTCCAGCCGGATCTCGACATTGTTGTCTGCGATATCCACCTCCAACCCATGCTCGTCCAGCTGGTAGAACCTCTTAGCTACGAACGAGTCCTTGATACCTGAGATAGTAAGCTAGAGAGTGTAAGATTGGAAAGTGTGAAAAACAAGTTCACTTGCATCATGAGCTTGCTTCATCTGGCCACGATTGAAGGCTTCGTCTGCAATAGTGCCTTGGTATGATTTACCGGTATTGATGAGCTTCGTGACCCCATTCTGACCGCCCGTAACGGCGGAAACCTTGATGAAAGAAATCGAGCTCTGTTTGGAGATGACCGTCACATCTTTACGTGAAGGGAGGCCAAAAAGCGAAACCGGAGCCATCGAAGCTTATGTCGAGTTAGTAGGATCAGACCGTCACACACATCAACGCACGGAAGTGGGAATATCCACGGGGCTTTTTGAAACTGGTGGTGCTGGTAGTTCCAGACATGGTACGCTCCCGCTTTCGTCGGTGGACGTGGGTGGAGGTCAGATCATCTCCATTGTCTGATTTCTTGATTCGGGCTTCATGCTAGGTAAAAATATCAATCATTGCTCTATTTTCCGAGGAATGACTCACAATTTCTTGATGGAAGAGTAATTCCATAGGCAAAAATGGTCGTTTCGCTTTCACGTAGCTATTCTTGTCCCAAGGTTTGCTAATGTTGTCCAGATAGTCACCCCGGTGAGCTGGAGAGGAGTACTTGAGGTAAAACTGGTCGACCGTCAAGGCTTCAGTATCCCCAAGGAGATCTTGTCCACCCTGGAACCGTAGTTCCACTTCTTCGCTAAAAATACTTTGTCGTTATAAACTTTCTAAAAGTAAGCCACCACTTACTCGAGAATTTTGTGACTGTGAGTCTTAGTCCATTTGGTGTTGAGATTGTCGAGCAGCTGGGACTTGACATCTTTGGCTGATAAGCGACCCGGAAGATATCACCAGAACAAAAAGCTAACCAAGCATCGACATATTCACGGACCAGCCTTGCGCACCCCATCCAAGGCCTTCATTGATTCTGGCAGTGTTGCCCTTTGCAACACGAATCTATTGAATTGTCGGTAAGATGAGGTGTGGTCTCCTCAGGTCAACGTACCTGGCAGCCGATATGAATTTGACGTTCGCCGGGCATTCCACCACCATGTTCCCGATTCAAAAGCTCTTCAGTCGTGAGGGCAGTTCCGGGATTTGGACCAGTAATGGGCGAATTTTTTTGGAGACGGGCAAAGAATATGGCATTACGGTCACGTTGAATGTCGGGAAGATTCTCTTTTCCTCCTGGAAGAGTTTTGGCTCCACATCATGAATCAATGAGGATAAAATATACCTGCGGCTGGCCCAAGTGGGTTACGATTGCATGCTGGTGCATTACAGGTCTGAGTAGGCCCAGTTGAAGGCATATTGCGTCGAGTAATACCACACATCTCACACTGAGGCCATTGCTAAACTCGAGTGAGCGGGAAGGTGAGAGGAAATATGAATGGACAAACTGAAATGTCCTTGTACTGGTCAGAGTCGCGAGCGTGTTTTGAGAGCTTTGAGCACTTGAGACAAGGGCCAGTGCCTTGTCGAGTGGGGAATTCGCCACCACAGTCATCGCAAGGTGTCTTAGGACTGTCCGTCATGGTGCGTAAAAAAGTGGGTCACAAATTCCAGTGACTTGTAACTCGTCGACTCCAGTCGCGTTTTTAATAGTTTCATGGTAAACAAGACAGGCAACAATGGGCATGAATCAAAGGCCTGCAAGTATATTCTTTAGTCCAAATAAAATCTCATATACCCTTCAGACCCACCGGATGACATTCTAAGGGAAACGCTCCTCCGGTATGTGCAGCGAAACCTCAGCCAAGAAACCAAACTGCTTCGTCTCATTGAGGACCACAAGTTGAAGATCAGGTCTAGTGTCTTGTTCATGTTATCTTCTTCCCTTAACCGGTCATCGAGTAGCATTGCAACTTTGAATCGAATCGAGAGGCGGCTCGAGATACCGTCGATGAAGAGATCAAAAATTACTGGAGAAGCTGCTGCCCAAGCTGTCATTGACGAAGCTGAAAAGGACTTGGGACTGAATAACGGACCCAATTATGTGTATACACAGTTGAAGAACAAGCTGGTCATGGTACCACGGTGAGTCGTGTCTGCGTTCTTTGTGAGTAACAGGTAAACATGAGTTCTTTGACAGTGACAGCATTCGAGCGATAATGCATCGTGAGTATCCCCTCGGAGCCCAACTTCGTTATCCGGGCCGGAACAAGTCAACGATTCCACGGACGCCTTTGACAGCATTGGGACCATTCCACGAGATCTCCTCAGATGGACACGAGAAACTCGGGGCTCAAGCATTACAGATGGGTGGAGTGGGGCTTCCTATTTATGCCTTCAAGGATAAATGGACAACGGAGCTACTCAAAATCAATGTTATCCCAAATGATAGAACAAATGCTGCCATTGGGCACTTGTTCTTGGATTTTGTAGCCGAAAAAGGCGGTCAGTATGGTATCTACTTATCACCTCTCTCCTCTAATGTAAGAACTGGCAGGAATAGGATTGCAGATTACTGTCGACAAGGGCTCAGAGATCGGTTGGATGTTGGCTATCCAAGATTCTTTACGGTGTGTCCAACACTGACAAAATTTAAATGTATGATGTTAATTTCCCCTTCAGTGCATTCATGATCCAGATGTATACCCTTCGCACGCGTGTGTGAAGAGCGTTCACAATACAATCATCGAGGCCTTTTGGCGCTGGCTGAAGACTAAACGCGGTCTCTCACTTCGAGAACATATTCTCCGGGGCAAGCATGAGCGGATATTCAATGAGGCGTCGACCCTTCATAGGTACATAGTGTTCCTTATGCTCTACACTCATTCATTACTGAGACATCCATTTCTTAGGCATCTTTTTTAACTGGACCTTCCCGCCCCTTATCCAGGCTGAGCTCGACGAATTTCAGCAGTACTGGAACAGCCACACTGTCCGATTCCAAAAGGAGAAGCTAATGCCATCCGGCCATGTCCCCTCTGACGCTCGTGAACACCCCGAAGCTTACGGCGGAATTGATTGCTTCATTCAAGTGCCGAGAGCGACGGTCAATGAGCTTCGTGAGACACTGTCGGAAGAAGTGGGCCCAAGAGAGCAGCATCTTGAGTGGGTAAGCCCATCGTTTGATGTGTTTGCAACTCTGGTCTACAATTCCATTGGCAAGCCCTTGTTAACGTTGGAGAACAGCTGGAAAGTCTTCTCGGACATGGCATCAAAGATGGAAGCGCTGGGACACGAGCATTGGCCAGAGAACTTGAAGGAGTAGTTTGTACTGAATTCATTGTTGCACAAGGCAGGCTCGAATGAGAAATACCATCCTGCCTAAATTCTGGCGGAGTGGTCATGTGCCCTCGAAAGTCCGCCAAAATTTAGGCAGATTCGTCAGTAGACACCGGACGA